ACTTCATTAACCTTTATATTAAAAGAATATGATCAGTATTTTTCCAACTAACAGATTTGCATTCATAGTTCTCTTATTAGTATGCCCCTAATTGCAAAAATTTCATTTATTTATCTTAACTGATCAAGCACAGTTGTAACCTTTTAAATATAGGTAAGAAAATATAAGAATAAAAAAACTTTCAGGTATCTAAGCGCTTTCAAAGGATCCATAGTGTCTTATAATTATGCATCAGTCAATTCTACCTGCGCCCAGCCCACCCCACCCCCCTCCCCCCGGGCTACTGAGGGGCATTTGCACGTCTTGTCAGTCCCGGGGGTGGGGCAGGCATTCGCCAACCCCGGGGCCATTCCCGAGCTTTTGACACGCACGCGGTTTCCTATCAGAGTATAACTACACAGAAGGTTTTACTGGAAAAAAAACAGATTGGCTCATCTATCAAGGACAGGAATAAATTGAAGAGGGTTGTAAAGGCATGTTCTCGATTTTATGCATGCGTTTCTTCATTGCTTATCAAGCCAGAAATACATAGCGAAATTGGAGCTATTGATGTGAATCAACGTTTTTTGGTCATTGAATCAAATTTCTGTTCATATTATTTGAAGAACATCCTTTCACATTTATAAAACCATTCATAACATATAACTTTACTGCGCTCTATTAATTTTAATGTCAATAATTTTATATCAATCCTAAAACCATAAACTAGTGCATGTCGTCGCGGCGTGAAGTCTTAGTTAGAATCCTAGCGCTATTACAAAGGAAGACGTTAATTGAAACAAAAAGTCGCACATTAAAATGCTTAAAATAGCACTATTCGACTGTGCGATTAATGAAAAATGTTGCAGCGTTGACGGAGGACGGGGCATTTGCCTTCTTTTTTCGTCCCCACCCAGGGGGATTTGACCTCTCAAGAGTCCCCACCCCCGGGAATTTGCCATCCAAGGCAAGAAAAATGCTAATGCCCGGGGGTTCAGCCCGGGGAGGTGCTGGGCGCAGGTGGAATTGACTGGTACATTACGTCTCCGCTGCAAAGCTGTCAACATTTAAGGTCGTTCTTTCTAGTTCTAAACGTTTAAACCCGACTCAAATTTATAATTAGAAGGATTTTTAAGGAGTCATCAGAGCATAACTGGGCTAATATCTCAGAGACAATTTGCCCCGAAATGCTAATTTTTGGTATGTTGGCGTCCTTGACTTTGTTCTTTCAGAATATCTTGACAAATTCCATAATTTCACAAATTTAATTTCTATGATGTTATCACTTTAGAACTCTATTGACATTCTCGCCTGAAGAAAAAAGAATAAAAGGGATTTTCAACTTTTAGACTAAAAAACATTAGGCCATTCTTTTTTTTTTTGTTTCGTTTAGTGTCGAATGCGCCTGATATTGGGTCGGTCGGTCGGATTGAAAAAAAATTGAAAAAAAAAAAACAACTTAAAAAAAAATTCACAAAATCACAAAAAGTCTCGGAATAGGAGGCCCTGGTAGTCCAGGACGACGGTAAAAGTTAGCATTCACATACCTGGGTAAATTTAACTAAATGCACGATACACTGTAAAAAATGTTCCTGATTTTGTTCCTGTCTTTCTCTATGCTGTTATATGCTCATTTTTCAGATTAAAAGAATTATTCCAAGTGAAAAATGGTTTAACTACGTCGTTGCTTTTTTTTTTCTTCTTCTCCTTTTTTGAAAATGCCAAAAATTTGGGTCGGTCGGAGACGCTAAACGGAGAAAAAAAAGAGGATGCCTTATAATTAATTTGGAAAAAGGTTTTTGTAACATGCGATCCTTTTGGGAACCTGCCGTCGAATCTCAAACTAATTGATACTGAGCTCTCCTGTTTATTCCTGTACACATTATTCAACAATTGAGCCCATCCTGGCTTGATGTAATTTTGAAAAAAATCAATGATAAATAATTCTCTATTTATTTGAAATAAAAAAAAAGAAAAATACAACTAATAGCAATGAGCTTGTTAGCCTACTCATTCAAAATAGGATTTTCCCTTAGCTATAACTGAAAAAAGAAACAACTTTTATTCCGTCGCTGTTATGAGGAGAAAATTTTCATAAAATTTAGAATATGTAAGAAGAAATTATTACTGATCACATACACATAGCGCCAAGTATCCCTTTAAAAATTTCATCACACTCTACCCTAAATTTTCGGCACAGTCTTTTGTTGACGTAAGTAGAAAAGTCGCTTTACATATATATATAAAAAAGTTACAACAACCGGCAACAAATGAAATAGCTAGGCTGCCTTCTGCTGAGTTGATTGACTAGGAGCGAGCAGACGGGTGGCCAAAGTGTTGAGGAAGCAGATTTCCGACGATCAATATCGATTTAATTGGGTTTGTTATACCAAACTCCCACCTTCGCAACACTCATTAAGTCGATCTTACTCTATGTTGAACTCATCGACTCCTTTGAGGGAAAAGGTTCCTGGTATATACTGAATACCGCACCACGACTCCTAGAAACAGGACGGTGAGGATTCGTTTTTAAATTTGTCCCTTCAACTTTGTCATTGGTATTTTTACAGATTCGACTTTTTAATGATTTTTTTAAACCGATCATAATTAGGGTATTTTGTTGGAGTTTTCTCTTTTATGTGTTTTACAGCATCTCTCAGCTAGCCTAGCTTCGTTTTGTTTAAAAGCCATAGATGAAGAAAACTCTGAAAGAAAAAAAAGAATCAGTCAAAGAAACTAGAAAGAAAGGGAGGGAGAAAGAGAACGAGAGAGACGGGGGGGAGAGAGTGAGAAAGAAAGGGGTACTCTTTTGGAGAGTTAAGTAGCAATGTCAAGGTGTCATTCAGATCTCAGTTTTTTATTATTTTGCCTGCAGTTCATTTTCCATATAAGGAACATTATAGCCTCCCTAGGACTTCATTTAATCTTTTTCCCCACAAACGACGTTCGTAAGTGACGAAGCGCTAAGAACGTCTACGGAAGGCTTGGAATATTACGGTAACGAGTTCAATTCTACTGTCATCGTCTATTGTCAGCCTGTTATGATCCCGATTACGCGCGCAGTCAGCTGCGTAGATGTTTAAGAATTTCAAAAAATAACCCCTTTGTGAATGTCCAGGTAAACTACTTTTTCTTGGTAAGTCTTTAAACTAGTAACATAAAGGTGCCTATTCCGGAAAAGATTGACGATTTAGTTTTGAAACTCTTCATGCACCCCCCTTTAAGGGCCAATTTTTGGGGTTTTTTGTTTGTTTGCTTGTTTGTTTTAGCTTATGAGCGCTTAATGCAGAAAAAACGGTTTTCTGAGCCAAAAAAATACAACAAAGTTCTAAAAATGAGCGTTAAAATTCCAGAGTGGCAAGAACTCCAGTGCGGTATTTTCTATTTGGAGCATAAAGCGATATTTTCTTATAGGGAAATAAAGAATGGCCTGTTGCATTGAGAACTCGGGTTTGTCAAAATGATGAGCTCTAGAACTTACCTTATTGAACATTTATAGACATAAATAATTGATTATTTCATTGTCTTAGTAAAGGGAAACATTTGCAACAACCATCCCACCCGTGGAATTCACACGACTGTGCATCAAATGGCATATGCATTCAGATCGCAGTTTTTTATTTCATTCTGCAGTTCATTTTCCATGATATAAATAACATTATAGCCTCCCTCTCGGACTACGTAGGACTTCATTTAATGTTCTTTTCCCACAAACGACGTTCGCAAGGGAAATTAAAGTCGTGACGAAGCCCCAAGAACGTCTGCGTAGATGTTTAAGAATTTCCAAAAATAAGCACCTCCGTCGGTGAATGCCCAGGTGATCATGAACTGCTTTTTCCTTGATAAGCCTCTAAACTAATTAGGTGCCTGTTCCGCAAAAGAGTGACAATATAGTCAATATAGTTTTGAAAAATTAAGGGCCGCGTTTTTATGTTTGTTACCACATGAGAGCTTAATGCAGTAAAAAAACGGTTTTCTGATCCAAAAATAATGCAACAAAGTTCTAAAAATGAGCGTTAAAATTCCAGCTAGTGGCAAGAACTCCAGTGCGGTATTTTCTATTTCGAGCATCAAACGATATTGTCTTGTGGTAAAATAATGGCCTGTTGTATTGAGAACTCGGGTTTGTCAAAATGATGAGCTCTAGAACTATCTTATTTTATGGACTATCTTATTAAACATTTATAGATATAAATAATTGATTATTTGCCGTTGTCTTAGCGAAAAGGGAAATATTCGCGGCAACCATTTATAATGGGTGATTATGTCCTTAACCATCCGTGGGCCGTTAGTTAACCAGCTGTGCAATATTTGACAGTCCTAACGCAGTTATCGGTTACAAATTAAAGTTAATTTTCTTTTTATCTGATGTGCGACTTTGTTTTGGAATTTATATCTGACTGAATTTGCTAAAACGTGGCTACAGAAAGTGCATTTTAACAATTTGAATGGAAAACGATGAAAAGTCACTAGCTAAGGCTCAACAATCACAACTTTATTGCTTGCAACAGACCATAGCCTGTTCCAGGCTCTCAGATAGTGGAGAAGACGCGAAAGAAAAAGGTGCTTTCTCAATTCAGCGGACCCGACCATCTCGGAGCCTGGAACAGGGTTACTGGATTCCACGTTGTGGATTCTGGACAACCAAGGGGAGTTAGTAGGGTATTAGGTAAGACAGTTTTTCAGAACTAAGGTTCGTGACTGAAGTTTTCTTTCCTCTTTTTTTATTCTCCGTTCTGTAAATTTCTTTTTATTTACAATAGGGCGTTTTCAAATAAACAGCTTCCAAGGGATGGCGATTCATTTCGGCTATCATCTCTATGAGCCAATAATTTGTTTATAACATTTAACTCATGATCATGGAAAATTTCCAATTTTGTACGGCTATATACAGCTTGTTTATGATCATGAAACTCTCATAACATTCTTGTAACGTACTGAAAACATAAGAAAAGGCTACAAATGATAGGACATGCGTTTTAGCAAAATACTTTTCTACGCTTTAGCCGGGAGTTCCAGACATGACGGCGAGAATAGTGTTCCGTATCTCAGTTGTGGCTCTCCTGGTCTACAGCGCAGTAACTCAAAAATGTCCTGCAAGTGGAAGATCCGAGAGCTCCATCATTGGCTGGATGTTACGGGGACACGTATACGACACTCTTCTGGCGGAACTTCCGTTTGCATGCGTATTCAAGTGTCGAGAAGACAATCGATGCCAAAGTTTTAACTGGGTGATCTCTCTTCTCACTTGCGAGTTTAACAACAGGACAAAGGAAGCCAGGCCAGAGGACTTCATTCCAAACCCAGACAGATCTTACTATCCACGCGATTTAAAGCGAGGTGAGCCAGCATACCCAGAGGGGGGGCCTCCCCATAATGTCCTATACAGGGAGGGTCCTACTGGAACGGGACGAAGTTTCATTTCGTCTGAACTTCCCTTGAACATTTAGGCTCAAATCTGTATTTTGGAGTAAATTGAAGACCGATGCTCAGATGTCAATAACAACAAAGGTGGAAGTTCCACGGCGCGCCGGAAAAGGCTTTAGCTAACAAAAATATCCGGGAACTTTTTAAGTCGACATGACGTATACTTCAAAATTGACGTGATCATGGTAACCGAGTTTTGAAAGCCGTGTTTTCCAAAATTGGTTTTTTCTCTAAAAAAAGGTTTAATTTCTGTTTGTACTAATTGTATTTTTATATTACACTTAATTTAGCATTATTAACATATTATTAGTCACATTTTATTGACAACTTCCACGCACATCCTCTCGTAGCATATAGTAATGCCAACAATAGGATTTGCTGGGTTCGATTCTTGGAAGAGCTGCTTCCTCTCCTTCAATTACTTGGCTTCATCTATAAAGATGATTCTTCCTAGTGGTCAGGGTTTCCATAAAGAAAAAACATTTCAAAATTCCATTAAAAAAGATGTTTGTCGGTTTCAAAAATGTTTAGCCAACCGGGCCTTGAAAGAGGCCAGTGATGGCAACTCATGATCAACCATGTCTTGCGGCAGGCTGTTCTGATTCTTTTATAGTTCTTGGAAAGAATGAGAATTTGTGGTAGTTTGTAGAGGACGAACTAAACAACTTTATATGCCAAATTATGTGACGACTTGTGCGCACTTGAGATTCTGGAACGAGATACTGGTACTTAATATCTATTTCAGCAAGACCATTATTAAGCATGTACATCATAACCAATCTATTCCTGTTCCTCCTTAAGTTCAAGGAATCTCACCCTAGATTATTGAGCATATCCGTGACACTTGCTGTGCGATCATAACAGTTTGTCACGAAGCAGGAAGATCGTCGTTGCACCATTTCTATTTTCAATTGTCAATGTTTAGCTTTGTATAAGGGCCCCATACTGAAGAGTATTCCAATATTGGACGAACTAGACTTTTATGCGCGATTGATTTCAGGGTAGGAGAGTTTACTTGCAGGTTTCTTGCTTTTTTTTTTCTTTTTTTTCTTTCTTTCTTTTTTTTTCTTCTCTTGTTATTGTAGTTTTGTTTTGTTTACTAATTTAAAAAATCTATTGTAGATTTTATATTGGTCTATTTTCTTTTAATACTGGCCTTTTTCACTTTCCTTTTTCTTCTTACCGTTAGCCCCAAGTGCCCCAAGCTTACATACTGATAATAAAATTAATGATGGAGAACTGTTTCTGACCTTTCAGTTCCCCTTGGTTCGATTCAAGAATTGCCAGCTGAGACTTGTGACGAAATTAAGAGGAGTGAAGGACAGGCTGTTAGCGGGAAATACTGGTTTTCGACCATAAAATCTGGTACATCTGTTCTGGCTTATTGCAATATGAAGACCAACGGTGAGTTTGATCAGTTATGTCAGTTAGGACAGACCATTGGCAAACCTATCGGGGGGCGGGCGAAGTACTAAAAAATTATTCGCGCAAGAGAAAATTAAATGAAAAAAATTCATGCACGCCAATTAACCCTAAAAAATATTCATGCTATGGCCTAAAAAAAATTCATACGAAGACTTTGATAACGAAAAAAAATTCCTGTGGCACCAAAATACTTATTAACCTAATTTGAAGGAAAGTTAATTTACTGTAGCTGTACCATCAGGGATGGGGCAGCTCCCGGAGACGTGTGATCATTTAAGATGGCGGCTAATCTGAACGAGATCGGCAATCCGTCGAATCGGACCGTGTTAAGTTCCTCAGGTATTGGACAATATCGGGATGTTGTGTACTACGCTTCTTTAAAGGGGCTGCGTGAAAAAACGCAACGTTTGAAGCCAGTTATTTAACGAAAAGTGATGTTTAAATTACAAATTACTCAGCACCATCCTCAGTTGAATGCCATTTGAAAACTTACGGGGGAGGGGGGGGCGAAGTAAAAAAAAAATATATTCGCGCAATAGAAAATAAATTAAAATAAAAAAATCATGCACGCCAATTAACCCTAAAAAGTATTCATGCTATGCCCTAAAGAAAAATTCATACGAGGAATTCATAACGAAAAGGATTCTTGCGGCACCACCATTCCTTACCCACCCCCCCCCCGACCCCCCATAACTTATATGTAATTGGCGACTGATTAAGCTTGTAAATTTTTTCGATGTCATCACGCCGCACACGCCGCATCGCTAACTAAATTTAACCGGGAGATGTAAACTTATCAGGCACACAAAAAAACTTGAAAAAGAAATTTCAAGCAAAAACTCATATGTTAGATAGGAATGAGAACTCTTTGTGTCACATGTTAGGGGTTAATGCCGTTCATTAATGTTTGTTTGTCCAGACATTGACGAATGCAGTGCTTCTTCTCCTGTATGTGATATTAACGCAAACTGCTCCAATACTCGTGGATCTCATTACTGCACTTGCAAGGCTGGATTTACAGGCGATGGAAAAACTTGCCAAGGTAAATAAGATAATTAAGCTAACTTGAACAGTTTCGTTCAGTTTAGTTCAGTTTATTTCCCGTTACAGACTTTACACGGGTTACAGGAAAATGTTGCCATAGAATTCAGAGAATTAATATGAAAGCTTGAGTATTATGGCCAAGTGATACCAATTATGTTTAAAATAAATACAGGCGATGAACCAGAAAGAGCAAAATTAAATAAAAAAATAAATAAATAAATAAACAAGAGCGTAATACTAGAAGAGATGTAAGAAACAGTGTTTTGAAAGAAGTGAGTTTAGGCAGAATTAGGTAGTGCTAGAACTGGATATTTCCATTCCAATAAGAAAGTGTTTTTTAATTAAAGTTGTTTTTCTTAGACATTGACGAATGCAATGCTTCTTATTCTGTATGTGACATCAACGCTAACTGTTCCAATACTCGTGGATCGTATGACTGCACCTGTAAGGCAGGATTTACAGGCGATGGAAAAACTTGCCAAGGTAGGAGAAAATCCTTATTAAGCTAATTTGAAGGAAAGTTAGTTTACTGCAGCTGTACCATCAGATATGGGGCAGCTCCTAGAGACGTGTGATCATTTAAGATGGCGGCTAATCTGAACGAGATCGGCAATCCGTCGAATCGGACCGTGTTAAGTTCCTCAGGTATTAGACAATATCGGGATGTTGTGTACTACGCTTCTTTAAAGGGGCTGCGTGAAAAAACGCAACGTTTGAAGCCAGTTATTTAACGAAAAGTGATGTTTAAATTACTCAGCACCATCCTCAGTTGAATGCCATTTGAAAACTTACGGGGGAGGGGGGGAAGAAAAAAAAAAATATATTCGCGCAATAGAAAATAAAATGAAAGAAAAAAATCATGCACGCCAATTAACCCTAAAAAGTATTCATGCTATGCCCTAAAGAAAAATTCATACGAGGAATTCATAACGAAAAGGATTCTTGCGGCACCACCATTCCTTACCCACCCCCGCCCCCCGCCCCCGACCCCCCATAACTTATATGTAATTGGCGACTGATTAAGCTTGTAAATTTTTTCGATGTCATCACGCCGCACACGCCGCATCGCTGACTAAATTTAACCGGGAGATGTAAACTTATCAGGCACACAAAAAAACTTGAAAAAGAAATTTCAAGCAAAAACTCATATGTTAGATAGGAATGAGTACTCTTTGTGTCACATGTTAGGGGTTAATGCCGTTCATTAATGTTTGTTTGTCCAGACATCGACGAATGCAGTGCTTCCTCTCCTGTATGTAATATTAACGCAAACTGCTCCAATACTCGTGGATCTTATTACTGCACTTGCAAGGCAGGATTTACAGGCGATGGAAAAACTTGCCAAGGTAAATAAGATAATTAAGCTAACTTGAATAGTTTCGTTCAGTTTAGTTCAGTTTATTTCCCGTTACAGACTTTACACGGTTTACAGGAAAATGTTGCTATAGATTTAATATGAAAGCTTGAGTATTATGGCCAAGTGATACTAATTATGTTTAAAATAAATACAGGCGATGAACCAGAAAGAGCAAAATTAAATAAAAAAATAAATAAACAAGAGCGTAATACTAGAAGAGATGTAAGAAACAGTGTTTTGAAAGAAGTGAGTTTAGGCAGAATTAGGTAGTGCTAGAACTGGATATTTCCATAAAGAAAGTGGTTTTTTAATTAAAGTTGTTTTTCTTAGACACTGATGAATGCAATGCTTCTTCTCCTGTATGTGACATCAACGCTAACTGTTCCAATACTCGTGGATCGTATGACTGCACCTGTAAGGTAGGATACACTGGCGATGGAAAAACTTGCCAAGGTAGGAGAAAATACTTATTAAGCTAATTTGAAGGAAAGTTAGTTTACTTTACTGCAGCTTTTCCATCAGAGATGGGGCAGCTCCTGGAGACGAGTGATCATTTAAGATGGCGGCTAATCTGAACGAGATCGGCAATCCGTCGAATCAGACCGTGTTAAGTTCCTGGTATTGGACAATATCGGAATGTTGTGTACTACGCTTCTTTAAAGGGGTTGCCTAAAAAAACCGCAGCGTTTGAAGCCAGTTATTCAACGAGAAGTGATGTTTAAATTACTCAGCACCATCGTCAGTTGAATGCCATTAGAAAACTTATGGGGGGTGGGGGGCGGGTGAAGTACAAAAAAATAATTCCGCAAGAGAAAATTAAATGAAAAAACAAATTCGTACACGCTAACTAACCCTAAAAAATGTTCATGCTATGGCCTAAAGAAAAATTCATACAAGGAATTTGATAACGAAAAAAATTCCTGCGCCACCACAATTACCAACCACCCCCTCCACCCCCCGTTCCCCAAAACTTATATCAGTCGAATCGGCGACTGATTCAGCTTGTTAATTTTTTCGATATTTCATCACGCCGTATCGCTGACTAAGTTTAACCGGGAGATGTAAACTAATCAGGCATACAAAAAAAACTTGAAAAAAGAAATTTAAGCAAAAACTCATATGTTAAATAAGAATGAGTACTCTTTGTGTCACATGTTTAACCTGAGATCAGGCCCAATTTGAGCGGTGCTCATACATTCTCTTTAACGGCTACCGCTGAAATTGAATTCTCTTTTCGTTTCGCCATGCCCGCCGGAATGTCATTTACAAAACGAAACGAAAATAGAGCCTGATCTCAGGTTATCACATGTTAGGGGTTAATGCCGTTGATTAATGTTTTTTTGTCCAGACATTGACGAATGCAGTGCTTCTTCTCCGGTATGTCATATTAACGCAAACTGCTCCAATACTCGTGGATCTTATTACTGCACTTGCAAGGCAGGATTTACAGGCGATGGAAAAACTTGCCAAGGTAGGAGAAAATCCTTATTAAGCTAATTTGAAGGAAAGTTAGTTTACTGCTGTACCATAAGAGATGGGGGAGCTCCTAGAGACGTGTGATGGCGGCTAATCCGGTGACGTGCTCCAGACCTCGCGCACAAATTTCTTAAATTTCCTTCTTAACTTCATCGACACATTACCACCAGTATTTTTTGACTATTTTACCTACCGTTTCTGAGTAAAACTACCGCTGTGAAAATGCTGTACAAGTAAAACAGGGCCTATTATGCACTGCCACGTCCTTGGCAGTGTGGATTTGTATCATAAAACGTATCGAGAAGGATCTTTCCTCAAACCCTTTTCTTATACAGATGTGAACGAGTGTCAAACAGGATCACACTCTTGCCATGCTCAGGGTCAGTGTGTTAATGTTCCTGGCTCCTACTCTTGTAAATGTTTACCAGGCTACACGGGCGACGGAAAAAGCAGATGTGAAGGTACATATTTCCAAAATTTAATAAGTATAAAGGACTGGCCATAAGTATGGGGGGGTGTGCTGGGGACAGAGAAGTGGTGGGTTATCAGTTTTTTCACCCAGTGGAAGAGGTGGGTCGATCAATTTTCAGCTAATTATAACCTTTGGTGGTCCGCATATCTAATGGGCGGCACTGGTGAGATAATAATGGGATAGTTGGCCACAGTAACAAAACATAAAACAAAGCAATCTAAAACTATTGCTTTGAAATTTTTTTTAAACATCTTGACTTCTGTCTTTTTTTAAAGGCAATTTTAATGCAATAAAATGTATGATGTTTGGTTTTTACATTTCATTGCTGTTTAACATTCTGCTAACTTAGTAACCCTCGGACGTACAAACCAAGCGAACCACGTCGGCACGACGATTAATTACATACGATAGGCTTTTTTATCCAAATGTAATCTTTTCAAGAATCAATTCCCATAACCTGAAGGCTTTATTGATTGTGATCAATAATAACATAACTGGCTTTTACAGTCCTCTCAGTAAACCAGCGATCTACCAACAGCCCTAACCCCTCCATCAACTGTTGATGTCCATGCACGTGCTTTAAATCGCTTTTGCCTTACACTTTTTTAACAGTTCCTACAATGACGGCGACAAGCTCCTGCTCTAATCTTCTTGTGCGTGACGCCAGCAAACCTAGTGGTACGATCTACTCAACTCATAGATATAGAGGCTCGGCATACAGTAGTAATATGGATTGTCGATGGAATCTAACTTCGAATGCAGTGATTGAACTTTTGTTCTACTATTTCACCACCCAATCGTCGACGGACTATGTACGTGTGTACGATGGTGACTCGATCTCCGCACCTCTGATTGGCGAATTTAGTGGAAGCTCCCTCCCAGCGCCTATCACAAGTTCGTCCACCAAGCTATATGTGCGGTTTACATCTGATGGCTCTTCAGAGTATAGAGGATTTAACGCGCGTTACCGAGGTATTTTTATTCGTAGACAAGATGAATAGAAAAAGCTCTGTGATCTTTATTAGCGGGCTCCCTGGTTAGTATGATAAAAACTTCCCAGCCGTACACACGAAAACGTAACAACAATCTAACAATATTTATTTTCGGTTCAACCATTTGTGCGGAATTAGACTTTGATTGTATATCTAGCTGGAGTTTTGAAAACGTTAGCCAAAAACTATCTCCAAAGTAGCCAATATAAAAGCTAACTAGGATGGAACCAGTCCTTTTTTTTCTCTTCTCCTCCTTTCAGTTCTCCTCGTTCTTGCCCTTCTTAAGTAGATTATAGGCCTTGGTCTAATTGGTTTTATTACGTTTGGAAAATGACTATGGCTATTACTGGCTATTACTTCGGCACAGAGGATGGAGGAGAATCAAAATTTGGCACATATATAGAGAATGCTTCATGGAAAGTGCTGGCGTACGGTATTTACGCACGAGTTGTTGACGTATCAGAAATCGAACGAGTGAGCGCAGCGAACGAGTAAGATTTCTGATACAAAAACAACGAGTGCGTAAATACCGTACAAAGCACTTTCCATGTGGTATTGTGTTTATTATATACATACTGAGTCATTCATCATTTTGCGGGCCTTTTTATTTTAAATCTTTCAAAAATGCTAAAATTTGCCGCTACACACTTACCGCAAAATGACAACGAAAACGAAGTATCAGCTTTTTAGTTAAAACGTTTGTTAAAAACATAAATGACGGTGAGGATATGAGGTTTAATCCAAGAACTATAAGTAATCTTAACTGTTTGTTCTCAATGCACAATTGAAAATGAGTGAATTTAAGTAAAATGGCCGGTTTCAATATAAGCTTAAGCTTAAATGAAAGGCAAAGTAGCTCCGACAAAAAGCACAACAAAAGCTTACGTCTCGTTCTGTTTATCCCTTTCCGCTGTTGTTTCACCGGCTCTCTACCGTATTTTTTTATCGACAGTGAAACAAACGAAACTATTCCACTCCATTTCCGAAATGTTTTTCACTTTTTTAGCGAGAAAAACTCCTTGAGTAAAACTTTTCTCGTTGATAAATGTGTGCGAAGCGGCGCTGCAAGCTGCAATAAAAGGCGGGAATTTTGGCGCGAAACTCCTACACCTCTGTGGCTTCTGATTGGACGTATCATTTTTCTCACACGTGAAAAAACATCGTTCGCGATTCTGATTGGACGTATCGTTTTTTTCACGTGTGAAAACCATCGTTCGCTCCTCTGATTGGCTATAACTAATTTGCGTACGAAAATTTACGACATAGCTTTTTGGTGAGTATTTCTCAGTATGTATATAATAAAAAAAATCCTTGTCCTTAACATAAAGTATATAAATGCTGTGTTAATACGTCATGTGATATGTCACGTGGCCAGTTTTTTTTTTAATCTTAAATAATTGACAAACTGGTAACGGGTTTAAGGAAAGAAATCAAGTAATTGATAACATTTTTCTCATTCATATTAAATATTTCTAACACTCAAAGTCAAAGTTTATTGAGAGAAAAAAAAAAAAAGTATTCAAGGATAAAGACAATAGCACTAGCCTGCAAAATTGCTAGTGCTAATCTAGGCGGGTAGTGGAGAGACTATGTACAGTGTAAATTTATTATTAGTAAGTTCTACATAATTAATAAGCTAAAAAAATATATATATATAGATATATATATATATATATATATAACAAGCCTGTTTCGTAGGCCACCGAAAAGGTGACCCACTCTTCAGTTAAACTCCATTATAACACTGAAGCGTCAGGGTCTACATCAAGAAAAGTGATCGCGTGATAAAAACGGTTACATATATATATATATATATATATATATATATATATATATAATATTAATAAGCTAAATATATATCTAGCCGGATTTTTGGAAACGTTATCGCCAAATGGACCTTTTCCGTCCAACAGTTTTTTTCGGTCAAAAACTATCTCCAAATAGCCACTATAAAAACTGCAAAGACTGCAACCATTGTTTCTTCTCTTCTCCTCTTTCCGTCTCCTCACTCTTTCTTTTTCTCCTTTCCTTTTCTTTCGTTATTGGCTTAAGAAACCTTCCTTTTGACGCCTTTTCACTCATACGGCTGCAAATCTCGTTAGGTTGGTTTTCAAAAAATAAACATGATATAAAGATGTGCGAATAGATAATCGATGTTAAGAGCGACTCCGCGTAAATATCAACTAAACGTGGAAATAGTCAAAAAATGACCTGGCCTCAAACTCAGCCAGAATAAAGCCCTATGGGCCCTAGTTACAAAATCGTTGGTTTAAGTACGATCGAGTGAATAATATTTTTTTCACGAATTTTTTTCTTCCCGAGGCCTAAAATGGGCAAAAATCATGCGAAATTAGAGTCATATTCAGTAACTCATAAATTTTAAAATAAAGTTGGCAACTAAAATATAATGACACCTCGTATTTTTTCTATCATTCCTCTATAATTTTAACTGATTAGTTCGCGATTTGGTCGACAAGAGGTTTTTAAAGAAATTTTCAAAGTTGTTGACTCAAAATCGCTTAATCATCTGTCAAAATTTAGCACTTTTTCACGAGCTAAAAAAGCGGATTGGTACATGGCTTTGAACACCAAGGCTTGTTTAGTCTGAAAGAGCATTCTTTTTTCTTCAAATTAGCGAAATAAAATTTTTGGGTAAATGAAATCACGAGCGCTGACAAAGTCAAGCAAACGTAAATATTACACTAAAAACGGGCGAAAAAACGTGACCTCTGAACGAAGCACAACCAAATGCGAATTACGGTAGGCGCCAAACCTTTAACTTCTTGAGACAATATTGGTCCGAAATGTGTACAGATTTTTTAAATAAAGCTGATTTAAAGTATTAAGTGTCAAAAAGTCCACAAAGCAGTAAAAAATACAACAAAAGTCACGAGTAATCTGTTCCGTGTTCTGAATTTTACGCAGCGATTTATGCGATTTAACGAATTAACAAGTTTTAATCCAACGATACCCACCTGAGACTGTGTTAGTTTAAGAGTCCATAGAACTTCTCAGACGATTCCTCGGAAAGACCTCCAGAAGGAAATGAATGAAAAATTTGAACTTATAACTGTGACAATTTCACTTGCCGCAACGGCAAAACGAAAACAACTGTCTAACTGCCACAGAGCAACCAGCTTTCAGTGGAGTCATGCAAAGCATGTCACGTCACGTAATTCTGCCCCGCGCATTTGGGAAGGAGGGAAGAAATTCTTCCATGCTGTGCGCTAAAACATTTATAAAAAAAAATCATGCTTTGGAATGTATCTTTTGCAACTAGTTAAAGAAAAGAATAACTTTTGCCCCTGTTTTTGCTCGAGGGGCGCTGTGCACTTCTTTTATTTTATCTGCTGTTTACAATGATTGTGTTTCAAGTTCAGAACGTGCATCTACAGCTAGCAATTGGTGTGTTCGGATTTATACCGAATGCTGTAGAAAGAATATCAAAGGGCACCAAAGCAGTGGCGGATCCAGGGGGAGGGTCGTGGGGGTGGGGGGTCCGGACCCCCATCAGAGCCGATACTTGTTTGAGACTAACATCCTTACAACGATAGAATTCCATGTCACTGTTTAACTGGCTGAATTTTTTAACGAAACGCGTGTTGTAATTTTCCAGTAAACTAGCTTCCAGGGATATTAAAAAATGTGATTGTAATTGGTTACCCTCCAATGATCCGTTCGCTTCTGCTCGCAAAGCAGTATTTCCCGCGCCAGTGGCGACTGGCTTTCACAGATTGAGAAACACGTAGTCGTCTCTGCCTTCTCAGTGACTAGTGGGAGGGGGTGTGGGGGAAAAGTAATTTGCTACAAAAAAGTTCAACAGTCCTTTCTGAACCAAAATTTGGACCTTCTTCTCCCCCCCCCCCCGAAGAAAAATTCCTGGATCTCCCCCTGGCAAAGATGTTACTCTGAGTTCGGAGCCAATCAAGGCTTATGCTGGCGCGTGCTAGTAAATCAATTTTTTTCGAGTTAAGAGGCTCACTTGTAGGACGAAAAACAGCATAATTTTATTTATGTAATATCAAAATTGTGCCTGATCATGTGTATCCTAGAGGAACAAGAGACATATTTGTTGCGAGCGTTTCTAATCATTCGGTTTCCTGTGTTTCGGTGGTTCCTTGCGTTGAAACATCCCGACTAAAAGCCAACAACAGGGAATGAGCTCTTCGGAAGCCAATGAACTAGTGGCCACATTCGGATCTCAAAAAAAGATTTGGACAAGTTGAAAGGACAAAATCGAAGGAAGTGATCGGCGAAAAGAGAAAAGAAAGCCAGTACAAACAAACGAAAACACATGATATCATTTTTTCCGATATTAGTCCGTTTGTAACACGAACCTTTGTTGTGGGCTGATACTGTGGGGTCGTTACCAAAATTGAATTTAAAACTAAAGTACATAATTATAAACATAATCAGTGGTTACAAAGGCAGTCTAATAAACCTGAACTGACGCAAGTAAGGAACCAAAAATAACGACCTGGCCCTAGTTGATCAAACGTCATTTTTCTAACGGAGTGCGGAACGAAATTTTTGTGGGAGTTTATTTTTGCAGATTAGCGGTTTTTTGTGTTTTGTGAGAACTAATTTTTGCGATTAGGACAGACTGTTTTTTCTTGCTGGGGATCAATTTTTGCGATTTCAGAGAGTGCCTAGTACCCAGCACTGTTAATATTGTCGTTTTTATTGAGTACGTGCAATAGAAATACATATTTTCAAACAATACTAAGTGTGCGTCAGTATTTTTCTGAAAAAAAGAGACCAGTTGTGATTGAACAGACTGTACTACTGTATGTACTGTATTCTTTTGTAATGAATTTAAGTTAGAGCATACAGTATTTCCTCTGGAGTAAGTTTTTGCGGGAAAAGATTGTGCGGTAATTTTTATTTGCGGAAACTTATTTTTGCAAAGTACTGACAGTCATGAATTCAGCCGTGAGTGAAATAGTGAAAATGACAAGAAGACAGAGGGGAAAAAATAATAACAGATCAGTCCACTGGGTTTAAAATTGTTTAGTCTGGCACTTTTGTGTAAGCAAACGGGAATGACTTTTTTATTTGTTCTGGAGGGATGAATTTTTTTTAAAAGCACGGTTCATAGCAAAAATTTGCCAAAAATTTAACTGAGAGCCATTGCTAGATTCTATAGCATTTTTTCTCGTTCCTTTTTTTTCTAGTTCTGTTTGGTCACATGAACCGTAATGTCAACTTTTTAAGTTAAGATAGCCATGTTTAGGCTGTTGTGGACATGTCTCATATTATCTCAGTCGTGACAGATGAAACCTTTATTACTCTTGGGTTCAAATGTTATTACGGATAGACCTTTATTACACTTGGGGCCAGTTATTACATTTGTGCCTTCCACAAGTTCCACTGACAAGAAATCCGGATCCCTGAAGTGAATTTGGCCTAAGAGGCAACCAAACATTTAGCCTCCTTGATGGCATTTTCAGGGGAGTCATATTTTCCCATTTATACAAGTCTGTAAATAAAGCGAAGGTCAAATGAGAAAATTGAGGTTAACGTTGTTGAGACCAAAGATGAAAAAAAAAATTCCCACTTTTCGTTTGTGCGGATGCTCATCAAGTCCAAGATTATATCGGCGGAAGAGGCACCTTTGCCCTCAAGCGAGGGCAAAGATGAAACAGTCCAAAGCTAGTTTTATTTCATAAATGTTTCAGGGCACAGCGTGGAAGAATTTCTTCCCTCCTTCCCAAATGCGCGGGGCAGAATTACGTGACGTGACATGCTTTGCATGACTCAACTGAAAGCTGGTTGGCCTGTGGCAGTTAGACAGTTGTTTTCGTTCATTGTCGTGGCGGCAAGTGAGATTGTTACAGTTATAAGTTCAAATTCTTCATTCATTTCCTTCTGGAGGTCTTTCCGAGGAATCGTCTGAGACGTTCTATGGACTCTTAAACTAACACAGTCTCAGGTGGGTATCGTTGGATTAAAATTGTTAATTCGTTAAATCGCATAAATCGCTGCGTAAAATTCAGAACACGGAACAGATTACTCGTGACTTTTGTTGTATTTTTTACCGCTTTGTGGACTTTTTGACACTTAATACTTTAAATCAGCTTTATTTAAAAAATCTATACACATTTCGGACCAATATTGTCTCAAGAAGTTAAAGGTTTGGCGCCTACCGTAATTCGCATTTGGTTGTGCTTCGTTCAGAGGTCACGTTTTTTCGCCCGTTTTTAGCGTAATATTTACATTTGCTTGACTTTGTCAGCGCTCGTGATTTCATTTACCCAAAAATTTTATTTCGCTAATTTGAAGAAAAAAGAATGCTCTTTCAGACTAAACAAGCCTTGGTGTTCAAAGCCATGTACCAATCCGCTTTTTCAGCTCGGTCAACAACTTTGAAAATTTCTTTAAAAATCTCTTGTTGACCAAATCGCGAACTAATCAGTTAAAATTATAGAGGAAAGATAGTAAAAATACGAAGTGTCATTATATTTTAGTTGCCAACTTTATTTTAAAATTTACGAGTTACTGAATATGACTCTAATTTCGCATGATTTTTGCCCATTTTAGGCCTCGGGAAGAAAAAAATTCGTGAAAAAAATATTATTCACTCGATCGTACTTAAACCAACGATTTTGTAACTAGGGCCCATAGGGCTTTATTCTGGCTGAGTTTGAGGCCAGGTCATTTTTTGACTATTTCCACGTCTAGTTGATATTTACGCGGAGCCGCTCTTAAGGACTGAAAGGAAGAAAGTGGGTAAATAAAGCTACTTTGGACATACATCTTGAAACTTATCTATACGGGTGGGTATACCAACATAATTATCCTCTCCCTTAACGTTTGGAATGGCTGCCCATTGCACTTTCGTAAAAATTATGAGGGAAAACATCATTTTAAATGCTCAAAATTAATCTTTAATTCTTAGAACTTTAATTCTAAACTTTGCGTACATTCACTCCAAACGTAGAAAATAAGTATGTGTACAGTGTATCAGAAACACCAATTTATTTATCCAAACAAAGTAAATTCGCCACCAATTCGCCAATTTCCTTCATTTTCAATTTTTGGTCGCGTGACATTTTACGAGACCATAATTTTAAGGCACAAGTAGACCTCAAGTCTGCCCAGATCTTAAACCCTTGAGTTTTTACTTTCTTTCTCCTTCGTTAGTGTGATATTTGGCCATATCACTCGACAAATGACTGCAAAAATTGCTGGGTTGATTTTCAAAAATTCCGCTAGATATGTAAAAAGCTGTAAGCGAAGAATAGCTAAATATGTTTAGAAGGTAAAACCAGATACCCCGAATCCCGAGAGGAAACACAGGACATATTTAATGAACAAGTCGACCCTAGCGACAAAAGTTCCCCCGCCCCTGACCTTTGACCCCACTAAAACGGACTTTTAGAAAGCGTACGTTATAAAAAAAACGGTGTAAAGTTTTAAACCCAGTTTACCTTTTATTTGAACGCTAGCTGTGACATCCGGTTCAGTTCGTCTCAAAGATGGCACTCCATTGGCTGGAAGAGTTGAAGTGTTCTATGATGGTCAGTGGGGAACAGTTTGCGATGATGCTTGGGACATAAATGACGCTAACGTGGTCTGCAGACAGTTGGATTTGTCGCAGTCAGCTACTAACGCTTGGAGCAGCGCCTATTATGGTCAGGGCTCCGGTCCCATATGGATAGATGACGTGGCCTGCTCAGGTAGCGAATCACATATCTACGATTGCAGACACCGTGGATGGGGAAACAATGACTGTACACACAGCAAAGATGCTAGTGTGCAGTGTTCTGCTAACATTCGTTTGGTGAATGGCAGTGTTAATTATGGCCGAGTTGAAGTTTATCACAACGGCCGATGGGGCACAGTCTGTGATGATTACTGGGGTACCAATGACGCTAATGTGGTTTGCCGTGAGCTCGGTTTCCCCAGTGCGTCCTCGGCACTATGCTGCGCGCGATATGGCCGAGGATCTGGCACTATCTGGATGGATGACGTCCATTGCAATGGAACAGAGGTTTCATTGTTTCACTGTACACGTAATGGTTTGGGAACACACAACTGTGTCCATAGTGAGGATGCAAGCGTGGTCTGTAACACTTAAATGAACTGTTTGCGCATGGGGCCATGCTTAATTTGGATTCATAGAAATTCAAATGTGTATCATGCCTATTATGTTAACACTGATTCTAAAAAGTCTAAAAAGCCCTTACGTGTGACAAGAATTAACTTAGATGAATTATAACAAACGAAGTTGTATTTCTAAAAATATAGCTGTAAGTAAAATTCCCAGTCTTATTAGACTATTTTGTTAAGCCCTAAAGGAGCCATGTCACGAGGATTTTGCTGTTTTTATTTCAGTTTTGTGCCGTAAAATCATTACTTAGTGCCTTCACACGTGTAAAGTGATAAACTGTAGAATTGTGAAGAATGTATTAAACAAATTTTGTCAAGGAGCACAGATGAACCAGAACAACTTTTACATGAAATGGTAATTTTTGCAGGTATTACATTAAAACTGGAAAAAATTGGACCTTAATGTATGTCCATCCTTCTATAAACTAATTGACATCCTTAGCGCTGCAGGCAGCGGAGGTCTATGTTTTCAAGACGAGAGTTAAACGTTGAAATATATGCGTTAGCTTGCGTTATCATATGGCTGAGATCCAAATGTCGAGAAAATTGCTCATATGCAAAAACCATAACACCAAAGGTTTACCAAATCGTTTGTAAAAAAAATTGAACTGTTCGAGAACAATAGTTATTTTTCTAGTATATAATCATCTCTGGTCGTATCTGCAGGTGATGAGCCTTGTAAGGACGAAAATCAAGGTAAAACTTCCCTCCCATGAGGTTTGAATTTCGGCGCGACCAAAGAAAGGAGTAATTTCATCCCAGGGGGAGGGTAAGGGTTGAGAAACATATAAAAGACGAATTGGTAGTAAGGCCCGGTTGTACAAAGTTTGTAAACCTACTCGCCATTATAGTGAGGATAATAAGGGACTTACATAGCAGAATTCTTTATTGAAACGGCTTAATCCTGCGTAGTCGGCGGGTTTTCTCCGCGTTTTTTGTTCGTGTTTTGTCAAGAAAGAGGCTAAGCGAGAAAACGATGGAGGAGTAGGCGAGAGAGCGCCTGCATTCAACCCAGGATTCAACCCCCATAGGCGATTATCACCTCCTCCGGTCTCCTACAACGACGATTTTGTAAGCTTATTACGCAACGATCCTCTGATTACTGAGAAATAAATGAATAAATAATAAATAAACGCGGAACAAATCCAAAAGTTTGTTCATCAGGAGCTCGGCTCCTGTTCCCGGGGGGGGGTACTCCCTTATGTAAGCCATTTAGTTTGGTATGTACCGCAGGGTATGCACTTTGCCCATTTTGGTCTAGCCTGGAATCGGGTATGGTTTTCGAGGGAACTACAGGAGTGTATGAGCGTATTTATCGTTTTAATTCCAAATAAATAAAAAAGAAAGAGTAATATGCGAATTCGACTGCTTTTGAAGAATTTTTTGCTTGCGCTCTAATCTATACGTATTGCATTGAGGGCGTTATTTTTGCTTAAAGGCCTAGCCCCGGTCAAAAGATGGATAGCGCTTTCCATGGATGAATCACTATCCATCAAATAAGTATTAGAGAAATCAATTGCGTTATCCAGTGGATAGTGATTTATCCGACGGTTAAGTTTAACCCTGGAGTTATGCCAAGGTTTACGAACATGCAACTTGAACTTAGCAAAATACTGTTTGGCTCTACTCCAAGATACATTATAACATAGCTAGAAAATTCGCCTAATCAAATTCAATAGCGCGAGCGTGCTTCATATTCCTATTGAGCACGCTGATGACGTCAATAAACTATTCGTAATTCCTCGAGTTGTTGTGAGCTTAGCAATCCTGAATCTCCTGAGTGCATCCATAACTCAGCAATGGACAATGACGCGTTTACCATGTGTTTTATAAGGAAATTTGAGAGGAAACGTTTGAATTTGTTAACCGATAGTAGTGAAAAGAGGTGAGTGTTGTTGTTGTTGTGATCTCCGCGAGCTGTGCGGGCTATGGCGTGAGATCATTCTTTGCAAAGTTGTTTTCTCTCAATGGCAATTTTTCGGTAAATTAATAGTTTTCCGGCACCTAAATATGGATTTTACAATCATTTTAGAGTACACTTTCTCTCAGTTTCAGGATAAAAACACAAGATTAACTGTGAGGAAAAAAAATATATAGTCACGTAAACATTGACGCGTACTGCTTTGAGCGCGCCCAACAATAATAAAATTTTAAGTTAACTGTTGCATTGACCGCTTTGATAATGTTATAAAACAATTAGTTCATGCTGCAGCTGTGCGTATGTCGAGATATTGAGCACTTGGGAAGTTTGGAGAGCACTCAAGAGGCTAGAGTTGCACTCGGCTGCGCCTCGTGCAACTCTTACGCCTCTTTCGTGCTCTCCAAACTTCCCGCGTGCTCAATATCTCGACATACGCACGCTGACGCATGAACTAATTGTTAAGTAACGACACATAATGTTTTCCTAAGCAATACATAGGAAGGTAAAATACCAAAAAGGAACAAAATAAAAATCCTGGATTAGTGCTAATCGGCCTTTCAGGAACTGGACCCCAGTGGATAGCGCTATCCCCCCCCCCTCCCACCTTTTGAACAACTGGCGCCAGCTGAAAACGGGTATGGATTTCAGAGGTCAGGGCCCAGTTGTTCGAAAGGCGGTTAACGCTTTCCACTGGATAAATCTCTATCCAGCGGACAGAGCAATTCACCCTCTGAGCGTCAGATTTCACGTGTACTTTCAAGTGACTTTTGATGACCTTTGTTGTAAACAAACCCCTAAAGTTCGAACATCCGTTAGTTTTCCGCTGGATAGTATTAAATGTCAGTACGTAATTTATCCGCTGGATAGCGTTTAAACAACCGGAGCCTGGTCTGAAAACGGGTGTGGAAAATGACATTTTTTGGTCTGAAATGGGGTCAGGATTAGGAGAACTGGGCGGCACACCCCCACCAAGAATTCCCGGGAGCATCCCTTTCCCACCCCCACCCCCGCCCCCGAGCTCCTGTTTAAAAACCCGCGACATGTAATGATAAGGAGTGGAAACTAGTGGTTCCCAGGTTTTCTTTGTTGACCATCGTTCATTAACTGATAGACACCCCTGAACACGGCATCATGATTGTACTTTTTTACCACAAATGTTAGTTCGCTTATTTCCGTCGAGGGAGGTAGAGCTATCTCCGGTCCCTATCGCTAAATGAAATAAATATTCCTAACACTTGATAACTTTTGTTTTCGCCACTACCGACATTCTCCCTAAAACTAGGAGCAGAATGACGACTTTTATGATCATGACATTTTCCCGCCAAAATGACGTTGGTTCGCACGCACGCACGCACTACATAGTATTGGGAAAGTCGTCCGATCCTCGTCTCAGAAACTAAAGCTCTCTATTCATTATTTGGGTAACCTTCATATTTAATTAAGTCATCCAGGGTATCTCATAAAATCTTCGGATCAAAGATTTGGCAATGTTTGAGCGTATCATGATCAGTACCGGTTTTTTAAATAAATTTTTCTATAGGTCCGTGTGAGGGAATGTGAAACTGGAATAAGTGAAGAGCTCTTGTGGCCAGAAATACCAACACCACAAACTAAATCCACTAAACAAATGAAGATTATTTTATTTAATAACGTGAGATGACTGGCTAATACATTGCGTGGTAAAAAAAAATTACAAGTTGCTAAAAACGAAAATTTGACATAAACAAACACCAAAACTGCGACAAAGCGTGGGCTTCGTGTGAAACACGCTTACGTTGTTACGGCCAAGGAAAACTACTGCGGTAGCGGACTGCGTAAAAGGCGAGGAAACGTAGACAAACACTGCAGAAAACTGCGCTTAGCGCAGACTGAAACAAACTGAAAATTGTTCTGAGGAACTGCGGTGTAAAATACGGTTGAATCATGGTTGAATGTACAGAAAACAAAAGTGACGAAAAGGTTCTAAGGAAGATGAGAAAGATATAAAGAGACGCTAACGAAGGCGTGAAAAATGACACAAAGAACTCAACAGCTAAACTCGCGTAAAGAATCTAAAAATAAACGTATAAAATTAACTACAATTAACAAACTTCATTAAACGTTCGGACGAAGAAAAAAATGAATTCAGAAAAATTGTTGCACTTTGATCTAACAGAATGTGACACGAAAATGACGTCATCGCTCACTGCTTTTTTAAAATTCCACTTACATTAGCAGTCACACTTTGGCACCTGCAAATTAAAGCCTCCGTATGCCCCTCTTTAGTTCTAATTAAATAAGTAAACTTAAAAAAACAAAAAGACAGAAAAAAAGACAAAGACAAAAGACAATGGACAAATATCGTTCATTTAGCTACCCTGTTCAAGACATGATACCTTATTTTATGGAATTAATGAAACCGTAAACCTATCTATCGTTACGGCAAGAAGAGTGAGAGAAAACTGTAAGGAAGAAAACAAAAATCAAATGGTGAATTATATTTGCCCGATATTTTGTTTCTTATTTTTTTTTGCCACACAATACATACAGAACTAAATAATTTTTTAACATAACATCATGGAAATCAATTTTTTAGAAAGATATTGTTTAATAATGGTACCACATATGCAGGCCGCTCATCCGCAATCCTTCACACTCTTTTAAATGTTTCCGGCCGAAAAAGACACTCTGTTTCATGTGAAATTGTATACCCTATTAAAGACTCAAGACCGTGAAAAAGGAGTACCCTCGGAATATTTACACTTCTTAGTTGTTTGTTTAATCCAAAATCGACAAAAACCCCACGAGTTATTTCATCCTCTTTGTTTTTGCTCAATTCATATCTTATCTGGTGGTTCTCAGCAATTTCCTGGCCGTTTTGCTTTTTCTTTGTGACGAGAAATCAGCCTGGTTCTCAGGCCAATTGGCGCTATTCGAGTGAGCGAAGGAGGCTTAGAACCGAGCGCAAATTCTCCTGACAAGCTTGTCAGGTGACGTCTCATCCGAAATCGCCGCGAACGACTGCGAGCGAGGCGCAGAAAATCTCTTGATCGTGAATGGCCGAAAAAATCTCCCGCCAATTTTCTTAACCAGTCAGAATAAGCGTGCTAGTATGTAATCGGGCCGCGAGTATGCAATCGGGCACGTGAGCTAATTTAACGAACTTTTTAATCGTATTTA